CCCATCCCTCCTTCTCCCCAGCGAGGATTTGTGAAATGAATGAAGGGTTGAGAAGTGAGTGAACACTTCAGGAAAGTAGCACAAGGACCTGACGTGTCAGGAAGCACTTAGCCTGGCTGTGCAGCTCTGTGGCAGTAGAAGGAGCATATGATAATTGGGCTGGGAGGTTATGTTGGGAGTATGCAATCTATTCTTTGCATCACTCTGTGGGCATTCCCTGAAGGAGGGAGAGGCCACTTCATTCAGCAAAGAATCTGGAATTCTGGTAGACATGACCCCCCTATCCCCGTAATTACTGCTATCATAGCAAAAGAAGGTAGTGTGTTTGTGTGTGTGTGTGTGTGTGTGTGTGTGTAAAACAGATAATTATGTGCAGCACTGCAGGTCTAGGATTTATTGGTGAGAAACAGGAAGTTGAACTAATATTTATTAAATCCTCATCATGGGCAGGAAGTTGTTTATCCATGTGACAAGTAGAAACTCATATGATTTGTTTAAGAATCTCATAAAGCAGCTTGTTATGGAATGAATATTTTGTCTATTGTCAAATTCAAATGATGAAGCCTTAATCCTTTGTGTGGTTGAGTGTGGAGATGAAGACTGTAAGCAAGTCATTAACATTAAATAAAGTCCAATAGTTAGGGGCCTTATAAGAAGAGGCTCCAGGTGATTCTCTCTATGCCAGACCATGTGAAGTTGCAAGGAGAAAGGCTGGAACACAACCGCCAAGAAAAGCCCTCTCTAGACTCTGATCTGACTTCTACCCTCCAGAGGTGTAAGACAAAGAAAGTTTTAATTCCCCCATCTGTGGCATTTTCTTATAGTAGTTGGAGTTGACTGATACAAGGCACTATTTCACCCCAACCTACAAGCAGAAGTACCTTTTCTAGGTTGCTCAGGCAGTGAGCGCCTACCAGACCAGGCTCTAAGCCAGCTCATCTGTGCACACTCCTACTGGACTCCAGGCAGAGATAAAATGAAAAGGAATTTGACTTTGATTCTTTAAGAACACAGAATATTGTTTTGCAAGTTTTAATGTTCTATATAAGATCTTATCTCTTGTTACTTTAGTTAGGATAGCCTTACACTAATATTCTCCAATCTTTTCTTAATGAATTCTGTTTTGATGTCTTTAAAACATTCTTAAAAAGCAATGTACAGGCGGCTCACGCCTGTGATCCTAGCTACTCAGGAGGCTGAGAGCTGAAGATCACAGTTCAAAGCCAGTCTGAGCAAGAAAGGCTGTGAGACTCTTATCTCCAATGAATCACCAGAAAACCAGAAGTGGTGCTGTGGCTCAAGTGGTAGAGCACTTGCCTTGAGCTGAAGAGTTCAGGGATAGCTCCCAGGCCCAGAGTTCAAGCCCCATGACTGACAAAAAAAAGTAAATGTTTAAATGCTTTACATTTTTTTCCTACAACTTTTTTTTTTGTGCTGATCCTGGGTTTGAACTCAGGGCCTGGGTACTGTCATTGAGCTTCTTTTGGCTTAAAGCTAGTGCTCTATTACTTAAGCCACAGCTTTATTTCCAACCTTTTGCTGCTTAAATGGACATAAATATCTCATAGACATTTCTGCCTGGGCTGGCTTCCAACCTTGATCATCAGATCTCAGCCTTCTGAATAGCTAGGATAGGATTAAGACATGAGCCATTAGGAGGGCTTTTCTACAACTTCTAAAGCTTTGTTTGATTTTTTGCTCCTCATTTTGGGGGTGTTTTGTGATAGAAGGATAGTACTTTGGGTAACCAAAGTACCAGCTCCCTTAAGCTCACTATTTATTATATATCTTTCCATATATAAGTCAGCATCTGGCTCTCTGTTTAGACTTAGTTGTCCGTTTCTTTCTTCCTATCAATTTGTGAAACCATCATTTCCCTCATCCTGTACTTGTCTGATATGGACTTTATGGTTGTTCTAGCCTTAAAATAAGAGGAACAATCTTTTTCTATTCTCTTAGAATATTTTTTCACTACTTATACAATGCATTTATACTTTGAATATTCATTAAATTTTACCTTTAATACCATTCAGAAAGTTGGAATGTTCTGTTTTTTGACTAGCTAGTGCCTATAAATACATTTTGTGTGGTTCATGTAGTAAGTCTAGGTGAATTTTAAACCATACATCAATTTTTAAATAATTTAAAAATAGTTATTAGTCAGAATTTCAGTTTCTTCTAGAACCAATAATAGAAAATATATTTTCTATTTTCTAGAAAATCACCTACATTAGTGATATTTACATTAACCTGTGATAATAGAAGCCCTATTGTATTTCTAGTATCAGTCATAAGTGGGTTTCTTCTTTTTATTTTTGATCATCACCAGAGGTTTTTCTATTTCTTCATAAAGCCAAGTATACATTTTGTTGGATAATTTTTATTTTTCCCCTGTTACTGGGGTTTGTATTGAAGGCCTAGCACTCTTGTTCCATTTTCTTACTTACAACTGGTGCTCTATCACTTGAGCCATGCCTTCAGCCTGGGTTTTTGCTGAATAATTGGAGATAGAGTCTTACAGACTTTTCTACCTTTGCCTGGCTTTGGACCCTATTCCTTCAGGTCTTAGCCTTCTGAGTAGCTAGGATTGCATGTACATGCTATGATACCTGTCTATTTTGTTGATTTTTATTACTGGATTTTTTTTGCCTTTTACTTAATAAATTGCTGTTAACATATTAGTTATTCCCTTTGGTTTTATTCTATTCTTCTATCTTGAATTATATTTTGGGTCTTCTTTTTTTGGTTCTCAAATATTAGTTTATATATAAAAATAAGGAAAAGGAATGAATGTTTTGACAAGCAAGTAAAGAAAACCTAAAGAGAGAAAAAGATCCATATTTAAGGAATGTAGGATTGTTTTATGATATAACAAGTATAATTTCAATTATGTATATATATATTTGTATATATGAGCATAAGAAAAGTTTGCAATTAGCCTACTTCTTGGCTAGTTTGATTATACATGGCATACCTCAAAACTGTGTATTTTTAATGTGGGTCTTATTTTCTAACAACAATGCTTAAGAAATTTTAGTTACTTTAAAAAAATCCTGCAAGTTTACTAAAGTCTGGGAATGTTCCAGACTCTCATATAAATGCCACAGTATTTGCACAGAACATATGCAATCCTCCTATATACTTCCCATCTCCTCTAAATGACTAATAATGCTAATACAATGTAAATGCTATGTAAATAGTTGTTATGTTGTATTGTTGAGGAAATAATGACAGGAAAAAAATCTGCCCACATTCTATGCAGACACAATTTTTCCTTGAATGTTATCAACAGTTGGTTGAATCCATGGATATGCAACCATGATGTCGAGGGCTAGCTCAATGTGATCCTTTTGGACTTGCAGCACTTACTTATTTTCTGACTTACAGTAGATGTTTTCCTTTTATCCATGATTTTGCCAAAGTGCTTTCATCTGGATCCCAAAAGCAGATGGATTAACTTCCCTGCATTTCTTCAGAGTTGGCTGGTGGTCCTTCCTCCCCTCTGTCCTTTCTCCTCCCTTAGCTTTATCCTTTATTTAATAGTCTACTCCTTTGTGGACTGTGGTTGTATGAACATTGCCTAGGTCCAAGATGCTATTCCCTTCTTGATATACTTTAAAACTTAGGAGCCAAGATAAGGCCATCTATAGCTACTCAGAGTACCCCTGTCTGCTCCTAGCTACAATGTCCATCCTCTTTCATCTCTAGCCTTCACTTTACTTCTGGGCTATAGTAGTTTTCTTTACTCTTTTGAGTGCTATGCTACATACTTTTTAATACATCTATTTACATGTACATGTTATATACACAATGTAATGTATATTATTGTATTATCTAACCTTTGTAGATGTTTATGAGAGGGTTTACAGGATAGGTTAGTTTGTCATCATTGCTAGATTTGTTGTGTGGTGTGTGTGTGTGTGTGTGTGTGTGTGTGTGTGTGTTTGTGTATGTGTATGTGTGAACTCAAGACCTCATGCTGGGATTTTTCACTTACAGCTGGTATTCTACTACTTGAACTCCTACCTCCACTTCTGACATTTTATTAGTTAGCTGATTTGTCTGCCTGGTTGGCTTTGAACCCTGAACCTTAGCTTCTTGAATAGCAAGGATTACAGGTATGAGGTACCAGGTAGAATTTTAAGTATTTCTCACTGACTGAGAATTGCATTGTCTCTTTTATTCCTTCTTTGTACCACCTGATATCTTCTAAGAAATTTAAGCAACATCTTTTATATTGCAGTTATAGGCTGAATTCAAAGCTTGCCTATGTTGAGGGTAAATCTCGCTATACCAATTTAAGAAGTAAAAGGATCTTCTCTTGGGTAGACCAAAACTATGAAATAGAATCTATTATAAATAAGTCAATTGCTTCCTATGTGTTTTTCTCATCTTAAAATTTTGCTTTGGAAATAATCCTATAGCATACCACTTTTGAGATTACAATTCAGTTAAGGATTTCCTGGTTAAACAAAAATAGCATTGATCAACAGTCACTAAGATAAACGAAAGCAAGACATTGGAGAGAGATTACAACTTCTATTGCTTAGGTTAGGAGACTGAGGCACAGGGAGCTCAAATCCCAGTAACAGATGATGCTATCATGCCGACCTAAGGATTGATCCCAGCACACACAGTTTCTAGAGTTGATTTTCCTGAATTACGGAATGCAGTCGTATCTGATGTAGCACCCATAGAGTTTTGACACCTAACAACCAGCATTCCCATGTAGAATTTTTTTTTGTACTCAATATAGCCAGATAACAACGGCTTTTAAATCTTGAGTGCTTTTCCTGACTGTTGCTATCGCAACAAATGAAAGCAATTCAGGCTATGTTTACTGATAATTTATAAGCAAGTGCGGTAAGCAATAGGAGAAGCTGGAGTAGTTAATGTTTTGTAGAGTGTACATAATCCTTCAAGCGCGTGGCTCATGCCTGACTTTCTATTACAAACGAAGCAAGGAATCAGAAGGTACTTGCAGAGCATGGCTGACTTACCCTTCCCACCTCCACGAGGTTGGTCACCATTATTATGCTCGCTGTGTTCTCGTGCCATACCATCCGCCAGAAGTCATACACCGTCTCTTGCATGGGCCCTGCCATAAAAATAGAAAAGACTTGGGTTCTCATTGTTAACTTTCCCCCTGGGGAATGTTTTAATTTTTACTTTACTGGTACTAGGGTTTGAACTCAAGAGCCTTGTTCTTACTAGGCAGGTACTCTGCCACTTGAACCATGCCCTCAGACGTTCTGGCTTTAGTTATATTGTTTTAGGTAGGGTCTCAAGTTTTTGTCTGGAGCCAGACCTCCTGTGGCTCCCATCAGTATGTCTAACCTGGTGGATATAGGGTCTAACTATTGTTTACCTAGGATGGTCTTGCTTCCCAAGTAGCTAGGATTAAAGATATGAGTCACCATGCCTGTATGCAACTGATTTTGTAAATAAATGTATTCATAGCCACATACTGATCTCAAACTTTTATAGATGAGTACAGCTCTTTAATGTACATGCAAAAAAGTACTCTTTCTAGTTCTGCATCTATAGAAATATCAAATCCTTCAATCATGGCTGATTTTTTTCATGTCATCAAATATCTGAATTTGAGCTCTTTTTATCCCTCTTAAGCTACTACCATGAAAGAAAGTTATTTCTCCATCATTTAGCTATTTATCTCCATAATACTCAAGAGTGAAATTTTAAAAAATGGATAACATTACTCTTTCTGCTAACAATTGGCAGATATCCCAGGGAAGTGGTATAGAGAATGAAATGAGCCTCTGTAGGAAAAATGGCCTTTTCTTGTTTCTAATATTTTTCTTATTTGGTGCCATCTGTCAAATGAATCCTTTTTTTCTGTTTCATTTTCTAAAGTGTGAATAGGGTTAAGAGTTGTACTTCCTTTCACTGGACATTATGATTCTGGTAGAGCGTGGCCAGACTGGCTTCCTAGCTCTTGGGAATCTGAGCTTTCAAAAGCTCTTTCTTGTATCTTGGGGGTGGGGAGAGGTAGTGGGGGATATGTATTACAAAATGCCAATGTTACTGATACCCTCAGATGCAGAAATTTGAGTTTCAAATTTCTTTTAATCCAGATTTAAGGTTAAAAAAAACCAATTCTACTTCCTGTTCTTGCATCCTTGAGGATATATGAATCCAAGCTGAAATGCAAGAAGAATGAATGCAACAGCAAAGATTTGATGAGTTCCATGGCACATGACACATCATACAAACATCCAGTCTGATTCAGATACAGTATTCTCTGTCACTGGTCTCCTGACATTACAGGTTCTTGGCTGTGAAACCCAGATGTTTGAATTTGATATTTGCTTTTTCTTTTTGCCTGGCTGTAATTTAGGGCCAGTTACTTAGTCACTGTGAGCCTTAGTGTCACTCACTGTTTATAATAGTAACACCTCTTAAGGTCATTTTGAGAGTTCTTAGAATTAATGTACATGCAAGTATTTTATACTTACTAAAGCAACAGTAAGTAACCAACAAGCAATTGAAGACATTTATGGAGGACTGGACACTGAGCAATACTAACACACACATACCCTCAGGTGTCCCCTTCAGTTAGTCCCCTCTCCCATCCCTCCAGATCAATTAAGAATTGGCTCTTGTGTAATTCTTCTTGCCTATCCACCCTGCCCAGGCACGGTGCACACTGCCCTCATTCCTCCCTTGCTGCTTCCGAGTCCATTCCTGCCCTCCTGCAAAAGTGGACTTAGTTTCCTAATGCTGGTGTCCACTCCCTTTGTTAGTGAGACCATACACACCACCTCCTTTGAAGTTACCCCGGCGACGTCAGCCCATCGCCTGGCATGTGCGTGCCATCCTCCTGCAGCGGAGGCTGAAGATTTCAGTGACTTTAATCTAAGGCTACAGAGGGCCAAATAAACATCGGATTCTATCAATCATAATATTTCTAGCTTGCACAGTGGTCCATGCATTGTGTACTTAACAGCTTGTTAGTTATTCATGAGGAAAAAACTGCAGTGCAAGTAGTCTTCCCAATGTGACCCTTGAGAAAGGAGGGAGGTCTTCACTGGGTACACAGGCCTATGCCACCTACTCTGAAATTTCCAGAAATTGTTCTGATGACATGGCGATCGTGGATGAGTCAGAGTTTCCTGGCACCCAGGACAGTGTGTACCCGCAAGAAGAAAAGTGAGCTCTCCTCTGTGCCCACAGGAAACTTGGAAAAAACTGATAGGTCAGGAGTCCTGTTCTTATGCACCTTACTCCATCTTAGCAGAAGACACCTCCTGCAGAGGGCATGTCTCCTGGTTTATACTGTGACTTCCTCAGTGCTCATGGGATTCTAGGCATGACACGAACTCCATGAATAAAAGAGAATGAGTCTGCCAGGTGTAGGTGGTTCATGCCTTGTAATCCTACCAACTCAGGAGGCTGAGATATGAGAATTTATAGTTCAAAGCCAGTCCCGGCAGGGAAATACATCAGACTCTTTTTTTATTTTTGCCGGTCGTGGGGCTTGAACTCTGGGCTTGGGCGCTGTCCCTCAGCTCTTCAGCTCAAGGCAAGCGCTCTACCACTTGAGCTACAGCGCCATTTCCGGTTTTCTGGTGGTTTATTGGAGATAGGAGTCTCACGGTCTCTCCTGCCCGGGCTGGCTTTGAACCACGATCTTCAGATCTCAGCCTCCTGAGTAGCTAGGATTACAGGCGTGAGTCACCAGCGCCCGGCTACATCAGACTCTTATCTCTAATGAATCTCTAAAAAGCTGGAGGAGAAGCTGTGACTCCACTGGGACAGTACTTGACTTCAGCAGAAAAAGCTAAAGCAAAGCCCTCAAGTTCTCAGTTCAAGCCCTAGTACAGGGAATAAAGTATTTTCATGCATTTACTGAGTGTAAACTACATTACTGCTATGGTGTTATATTCAAACCATACTAAGTAGTAGAGGATATTAATGTCTGATGTTGATCTGATTCTTTCTCAACTAATACTTCCAAGATCACTTACCAAAGTTGAGAACCTCGTACCCTGACTCCTTTCCATTCCAGTTCAGGGAAAGGGGACATCTTCGCAAGGATTCTTCAGAGGAGAGGGATTATTACTTAGTCCTCAGGGTGCTCTCAGAGCACTGACATGGAACTGCTGTTCCCCACCACTAAGCAGATAGCTCTTCTGAGTCTCCCTGTTGGAGGCTTTGCTTCCAAATTTGGATCAGTCCATTACTCTGGGTGGGGAGAGCACAATCCTACTTGCCAATCACTGCCCTCCCTTAAAAAGCAGAGTATCTACTGATTAGTCTAAACCCATCTACGAGCTCTGTGAACCAAAGAAACCCATTTCTCTCTGATTCAAAGGAACTTCACTCATTTGTCAATGTTACTTTCCTTTTTCTTTGACACATTTCAAATTATTTTCCAAGCTGAAAAAAAAATATCATGTCTCCTGTCATCAAAACAACAAACTGTACTGGAGGCTAGAGAAGAAGCAGTCTGGTCTTACACCAAGAACAGTTAGTTCCTCAGATTGCAATATATGCCTCCCAAGACCACTGGGGTTTACTCAGCAGAAACACAACTCAGTTCCTAAGACAAGGAATCCCAAACAGCAATGAAAACCACCTTTTCTCAAGGACTGAAGGAGGGGTTGACAGCCCAGCCTCTGATTCTCCTGGCTCCCGGCTGGAGCCACTAGGATGATCCAGGTGGTGCCTTTATAAGATGTCACACAATGAGCAAGAAGTTATTCTGGGCAGTTGTTCCCCTGTGGGACTCCAGCATTTGAAAAGCAAGCTGTAGCAATGTCAAATATTGGGCCACTACCATATTCCATTCCCTTCACAATAGTTGGTACTTATAAAACTGTGCTGAGAAGATGTGGGAAGAAAAAAGAAAAAGAAAAAAGAGAAAGGCACTAAAAAGCATAAGAGAAGGACATTCCAGGGTGAGCTTTAGTGTGTAAGATGAGTTCTTTGGTTTCATGGCATGAGAGAGATGAAAAGTTATAATTTAAAACCTGGATAGTGACGACTGTTGGTGGCTCATGCCTGTAATCCTAGCTACTCAGGAGGCTGAGTGAGGATTACGGTTCAAAGCCAGCCCAGGCAGGAAAAGTCCGTGAGAATCTTATCTCCAATATACCACCAGAAAACCACAAGTGGTGCTGTGGCTCAAGTGGTGTGGTAAGGCGCTAGCCTTGAGCTGAAGAGCTGAGCAACAGCGCCCAGGCCCAGAGTTCAAGCTCTACAACCGACAAAAACAAAAACCAAGGGCTGGGAAGGTGGCTCAGTGGTAGAGCGCTTGCCTTGCATGCCTGAGGCCCTGGGTTCGATTCCTCAGCACCACATAAGCAAAAAGAAAAAAGCCGGAAGTGGCGCTGTGGCTCAAGTGGTAGAGTGCTAGCCTTGAGCTGAAGAGCTGAGGGACAGTGCCCAGACCCAGAGTTCAGGCCCCATGACTGGACCCCCCCCCAAAAAAAATAAACAAAAACAAAAACCCTGGATAGGTGTTCTTTGCACATTCAAATTTCTATCCAGCATGTTTTCCTGTCAACTAAAGCTGCCAAGAAGTCAAGGTGTTTGAGAGCAAGCACTGGCATATTTGAGGTGTGTTTGTTCCTCCCCCTTTCCCTTTCCCTTCTCTTTCTTGAGGAAAGCATAAATTCCAATTGGTATTCCATCATACAATCTAACATCTTTTGAGCAATTTGTATTTTTCTAGGACCTCTTGAGGCATTTTAACTTTTAAAATACCATGCTATGAAATAGTTCTAATTGTTCACTACCATTTTACTGAAAGGAGACTGAGGGCACAGATCACTTGAATAAGTTCTTGATAGTCATACAGGGATTGAGCTGTAAGTCTAAATCTCCACTCTCTCCTCCTCTTCCCTCTCCTCCCATTCCCTCCCCTTTCTTCTCCTTCCCCTTCCCCTCTTTTCCCTCCCCTTTCTCCTCTGCTCTCCTTTTCCCCCTTTCCCTTCCCCTTGCCCTTTCCTGACAGGATCTCACTATATATCTATAGCTGGCCTAGAACTCCTGTTCCTCCTGCCTCACCCTCCCAGATGCTGCGATTAAGAGGTGTGGTTTTGAAGCAAGCACTCTGAATCGACTCCATCACCT